TGATGATAGCGTTATCGATAAGGGATGGATTTGATTGGTAATTGATGATTGGCGATGATGGTGATGATGGTGATGATGGTGATCGCCTTTGGGGAAAAATAGTTGTGTGAGTTTGGTTTAATGGGTCGTGAGGGGTCATTGGGTTGGGTGTTGGATGTTGCAGAGGGAGAGAGAGGGAGAGGGAGAGGGAGAGAGAAATGGGGAGAGGGAGAGAGGTGTGAGAGAGATAGGGAGAGAAAGAGAGAGAGAGAGATAGGGAGAAAACAGAGAGTGAGAGAGAGAATATAGGATATATTTGTGTGTGTGTGTGTGTGTGTGGTGTGTGTGTGTGTGTGTGTGTGTGTGTGTGTGTGTGTGTGTGTGTGAGAGAGAGAGAGTGTGTGTGTGAGAGTGAGTGAGTGAGTGAGTGAGTGAGTGAGTGAGAGAGTGAGAGAGAGAAGATAGGATATATGTGTGTGTGTGTGTATAAAGAGAGGAGAGAGGGAGAGGGAGTGAGAGAGGGAAGCTTACTAGGTACAGATCACTTGTCACGGCGTATTTGGTAACAGTTGCTTCCCGTTACTACGACCACTTCCCGTAGCAGCGACCACGTACTCAGCCGTCGTTATACAAGACACAACAGGCTGTTCTCTTGCATAACCAGTCCTCGGCGCTCTGAGTGACGTGGTGGCCCTCTGTTCTCTCCTCCTCCCTCCTTCCTTCTCCTTCCCTCCCTCCATTCCTCTCCTTTCCCTCCCTCCTTCCTTCCTTCCCTCCCTCCATCTCTTCCTCCTTCCCTCCCTCCATTCCTCTCCTTCCTTCTCTCCCTCCCTCCCTCCCTCTCCTTCCCTTCCCTCTCTCTCCTTCCTTCCCTCCTTCCATCCCTCTCTCCCTCCTCCCTCCCTCTCCTTTCCCTCCCTCTCCTTCCTCCCTTCCTTCCCTCCTTCCCCCTTCCTTCCTCCTCTCCTCCTTCCCTCCCTCCCTTTCTCCCTTCCTCCTTCTCTCCCTCCCTCCTTCCTTCTCTCCCTCCCTCCTTCCTTCTCTCCCTCCCTCCCCTCCCTTCCTTCTTCTCTCCTCCCTCCTTCCTTCCTTCCCTTCCTCCCTTCCTCCCTTCCTTCCCTTCCCTCCCTCCCTCTCCTTCCTTCCCTCCCTCCTCTCCCCCCCCCTCCCTTGCTTCTTATCTTTTATTGGTTGTGGTTCTCTGATTCTCTTTGCGGCTCCATCGCTCCCTCCCCCCCTCCCCTCCCCTCCCCTCCATCCCCTCCCCCCCCTCCTCGTCCCCTTCCCCTTCCCCTCCCCCTCCCCTTCTCAAGTAACTGGTCTTCATGTATCACTGGCTTTTGTTGCAATTTTTTTTATTTTCTTTGTTTTTGTTGTTCACTACTTAGCGCGTTTGTTTATTTTATCCTTATTCGTTTGTCATAAAAAACATTTGGATTATTTAAAGTATGTGACAGGAGGGAAACAGGAAGCAAAGATGTTGGTGATCCTCATGTTTGTTTTTGTTTTTTTAATTGTTCTTCTTTTGGTTTGCTGCACATTTTATTAGATTTTTTTTTTCATCGTGCTCACCTTGTTTTACATCCGGGTTGTTTGTTGTTGTTGTTTTTCGTCGTTCTTTCCTTGTTTAAGACCCTGTTATTTTTTTGTCGTTCTTCCCTTGTTTTACTCCCTTTTTATCGTATTTCCCGTGTTTTTTTTATCGTCACCCTGTTTTACTCCGTTAATATATTTTTTTAATCATTCCCTTGTTTTTCCTCCGTTTTTTATCCTTCTTCCCCTGTCTCACGCCCTGTTATTTTATTTTCTATCGTTCTTCCCCCGTTTTACACTTAACTTATTTATCCGCTCGTTATCCGTAAACCAGGCGGGCAAGGGGCTCGTTGGCTCGTTTCCTCGGCTCGGGTCCAGATCGATGTCGGCGGCCGCTGGAGGAGGGAGGCCGCTCGCTGCCCGGGTGACGCGCTTCGCCGAAATAATAAATAAAAACTAACATCGTCAATATTAACATTATCAATATCAACATCATTAATTAAAAATAAAAAAAACACCATTAAAACGCCATCATTAACCAATATTATCAACACTACCAACACCATCATCAACATCACCATCAACATGAGCACCACCAACATAAACACCATTAACGCCAACATCAACGCCATTAACGCCAACACCACCAACAAAATACCACCAACACCAACATCTCCATCAACACAAACACCAACTATATCACAAATAACAATAACATCAGCAATAACAACACAAGCAAAAGCAACAGGAGCAAAAGCACCTCCACCAATAACAAAAACAACAGCAACAGCGGAGGGAAGAACAGGAAGGCAGAGAAATGTGCTTCTCTGTTTACTGTTCTTTGTCTATTCTCTTCTTTCTCTTTTTCTTTTCTCTGGCTTATTTTTCTTTTCTTCTACTTTCTGTTTTTTATTTTTTATTTTTTTATTTTCGATTCAAGCTTTCTCTCTTTTTCTTTCTTCTTCTTTTTCTTTTTTTCTTTTTCTCTTTCTCTTTCTCTTTCTCTTTCTCTTCTCTTCTCTTTTCTTTTCTTTTCTTTTCTTTTCTTTTTCTTTCTTTTCTTTTTCTTCTTCTCTTCTTTCTCTTCTCTTCTCTTCTCTCTTCTCTCTTCTCTTCTCTTCTCTTCTCTTCTCTTCTCTTCTCTTCTCTTCTCTTCTCTCTCTTCTCTTCTCTTCTCTTCTCTCTTTCTCTTCTCTTCTCTCTTTCTCTTCTCTTCTTCTTCTCTTCTCTTCTCTTCTCTCTCTTCTCTCTTCTCTTTTCTTCTCTCTTCTCTCTTCTCTTTCTCTTCTCTCTCTTTCTTTCTCTCTTCTCTCTTCTTCTCTCTTCTCTTCTCTTCTCTTCTCTTCTCTTCTCTTCTCTTCTTCTTCTCTTCTTCTCTTCTCTTCTTCTTCTCTCTTCTCTTTTCTCTTTCTCTTTTCTCTTTTCTCTCTTCTTCTCTCTTCTTCTTTCTCTTCTCTCTTCTCTCTTCTCTCTTCTCTCTTCTCTCTTCTCTCTTCTCTTTCTCTTTCTCTTTCTCTCTCTCTCTTCTCTTCTCTTCTCTTCTCTTCTTCTCTCTCTCTCTTCTCTTCTTCTTCTCTTCTCTTCTCTTCTCTCTCTTCTCTTCTCTTCTCTTCTCTTCTCTTCTCTTCTCTTCTCTTCTCTTCTCTTCCTCTTTCTCTTTCTCTTTCTCATTATATCGCTCTCTCCCTCCCTCTCCCTCACCCTCTCCCTCTCCCTCACCTCTCCTCTCCCTCTCCCCTCTCCCTTCATCCTCCCTCACCCCTCCCTCTGTTCCTCTCCCTCACCCTCTCCCTCACCCTCTCCCTCACCCTCACCCTCTCCCTCACCCTCTCCCTCTCCCTCTCCTCTCCCTTTTCCCTCTCCCTCCCTCCCTCCCTCCCTCCCTCCCTCCCTCCCTCCCTCTCCCTCCAGGCATAGCAACAGACACGATGTAACGGGCAGAGTGTACCGGCAGATAAGGAAGGAGAAGAGAGTGAGAGGAAGGGAAGGGGGAGGGGTAAGGGTAAGGGAAGAGGGGGACAGGGAAGGGAGGGGAGGGGAGAGAGAAGGGAGAGAGAGGAGAGAGAGAGGGAGGGGGGGAGAGGAAAGGGCGAAGCGGGAAAGGGGAGAAGAAAAGAGGGAGAAGTAAGGGGCGAAGAAAAGGGGACGGGAAATGGAAATTAGATGAATAAGGTAGATCCAGAAGGAAATGAAGATGAGCGAGACGTATTTCCTTCCTTTCTCTCTGCTGATTGGCAACTATTGTAAGCCATTTGTGTTATCTCTGTTATTGGTTATTATTGGTTGTCTGTTGTTGTTGTTTTATTATTATTATTATTATTATTATTATTATTATATTATTGATATTATTTGCTTCATATTCCTCACTCTTACTTTCATTCTCATTTTCAGTCCATCACACACATGTACACACGCGCACACCCACACCCACACCCACACGCACAAGCGCACACACACGCACACAACGCACACACACGCACAATGCAACACACCGCGCACACACACAACACACACACACACACACACACACACACACACACACACACACACACACACACTCACACTCACACTTCACTCTCTCACTCTCACTCTCACTCTCACTCTCACTCTCACTCTCACTCTCACTCTCACTCCTCACTCTCTCTCTCTCTCTCTCTCTCTCTCTCTCTCTCTCTCTCTCTCTCTCTCTCTCATCTCTCTCTCTCTCTCTCTCTCTCTCTCTCTCTCTCTCTCTCTCTCTCTTCTCTCTCTTCTCTCTCTCTCTCTCTCTCTCTCTCTCTCTCACTCTCTCTCCTCTCTCTCTCTCTCTCTCTCTCACTCTCTCTCTCTCTCTTCTCTCTCTCTCTCTCTCTCTCTCTCTCTCTCTCTCTCTCTCTTCTCTCTCTCTCTCTCTCTCTCTCACTCTCTCTCTCTCCTCTCTCTCTCTCTCTCTCTCTCTCTCTCTCTCTCTCCTCTCTCTCTCTCTCTCTCTCTCTCCTCTCTCTCCTCTCTCTCTCTCTCTCTCTCTCTCCTCCCTATCCCTATCCCTATCCCTATCCCTATCCCTCTCCCCTCCTCCCTCCCTCCCTCCCTCCCTCCTCCCTCCCTCCTCCTCCCTCCCTCCCTCCCTCCTCCCTCCCTCCCTCCCTCCCTCCTCTCTCTCTCCCTCTCTCCTCTCTCTTCCTCCCTCTCTCTCTCTCTCTCTCCCTCTCCCTCTCCCTCTCCCTCTCCTCTCACTCTCACACTCCTCTCTCTCTCTCTCTCTCTCTCTCTCTCTCTCTCTCTCTCTCTCTCTCTCTCTCTCTCTCTCTCTCTCTCTCTCTCTCTCTCTCTCTCTCTCATTCTCTCCCTCTCCCTCTCCCTCTCCCTCTCCTCTCTCTCCTCTCCTTCTGCTCTCGTTTACCATCGTATATCCATGCTCCTCATTATCACCTAAATTGTCTCCCTCTGGTTGTTCTTCAGCACATTTTTCTATGGATTGTGACCGTGTGTGTTTTCCTCCTTTGCAGTGTGGTGACTTCGTGAACGCAGGTGCCAAGGAGATGATGACGCCGTCGGATGTCATTGCTGCTGCGGACATCACCTTCTCCTGTGTGTCTGACCCACAGGTGGCAAAAAATGTAAGTTTTTTTTTTTTCAGTTGTATATATTCTTTTATTAGTGGAATATGAGAGTGATTGAGGTATATCCTTCCAAGTACTTTTAGATTCATCATGAATTGGTACTTTTGATTTTGTCATTACAAATTGCTATTTTCTGGTAATTGTTTTTTCTCGTTATTGATAGGTATATTTTCTTTGTATAGTGTTATATTTCTTATTCTTATCATTAACCGTGCTGCTGAGTTTATTATGATGATTTCTGAAGGACTGTAGCTGTATTTTATTTGCAAACTTAGTGCTTTCAAGTTAATGATTTATTTTTGTGGTTCCATTGAAAAATGAAACAATTTTTTCACTTTATTAGAACATTTGTCTGTTAATAAGCTAACCAATTTCCTTTTAACACTATCAGTCTTACATATTCATGTTGCGCACCTGCAGATGGTATTCGGAAATTGTGGAGTGTTGCAAGAAATGTCCGCTGACAAAGGCTATGTGGAGATGACTGGCATTGACGCAGAGACCTCACAGGACATTGCAGAGGTGAGTGAGTTCTCTGAAAGCAAAAGAGAGGCTCGACAATACTTTCCAATCTATGGATGTTTGCATGAATCAAACTGATTATATTCTAACCCTAACTGACCCAGTTTTGCACTACACACTTCTTAACCACCCCCTTCTGCTTTTTCCCAGGCTATAAGTGGGCGAGGGGGGCGTTACCTGGAGGCACAGGTGCAGGGCAGCAAAGTGCAGGCAGAAGAGGGCACCCTAGTCATTCTGGCAGCGGGTGACAGAACGCTCTTTGACGACTGCCAGAGCTGCTTCCAGGCCATGGGCAAAAATTCCTTCTACCTCGGTAAGCTTTGCTGGAGGATGACTTAGGTTTAAGGCTTTTCCCTAATTTTGTGTTAATTCTTTAGTGTTGGTTTCTTTTTCTTTATCAGCAGATTAAAATTTATAAGGAGGTTGCACAGGGACCAGTGAGTTGATTAGGTTTTGGTAGTCCATGCAGGATTCTGGGAGATAAAGGAGGCATTGTGATCAAGGAAGTCTATTTTGTAGACTTGTGTTTTGGGGCACTGAGAGAGTTCCTTGTGCTTTGAGCATTATTATCATCAATCATCAGGAAGTATTTAATGAAATCAGAGGCATTTCATATCAAGTACTGTGTGTATCTCTTAGAGGCTAAAGCTTGGCCCCAAAATCTGAGTTTTCATTGTGGGAGGTTCCATTTTTTTTTTTTTTTTTTCTGTTGGTGATATTGTATTGTACTTGGAAGTTGTTGGACATCACAGGAGCTTTATTAAGTTTGCTAACTTTTAAGATCGAAATCCAATTTAGTTCTGTTAAAGTGCTATGCCATTTGAAAAAAAATAATCAAAGAATAATTACACGTACATGCCGTCCGGTGGCAAAGGATTAATAGTTTGATTGCAGAAGACAAAATCATACAATGGCACTGCATAATGACATACCCCTCTCCATAGGCATGTCAGAGGAAGCTGGTCTTTCCCCGTTAGTAGTGGCATCATTAGTTTGGTTTTCCTATTAGATGCAGACACTTGAAGTTCATAGGAAATCATAAATTGTTCTAAGCTTTTGTTTATAAAATGCCGCTACAAAACATTAAGTGCCTACTGTTGTGCTTGAAGTACTTGAAAGAGCTGGGCACAAACAGGAAAACTGCCATTGTGTGCCCACATTACATTAGCTGAAATATACAGAATTTCACTCTTTACAAGCAACAAGAATCCTTTAGAAAAACTCAACTCTGTAGCACCCTCAGCATTCAGTTCAGTGCATTATATGGTATTTACACCATGGGATCCCTAACAATTTTGCTTTTTGCAGGTGAGGTGGGCAATGCCAGCAAGATGAATTTGGTGCTCCAGGTGATGGCAGGTGTCACGCTAGCTGGGCTGGCTGAGGGAATGGCCCTGGCGGATAGGGCTGGGCTGCAGCAAAAGGACGTGATGGAGATCATGGAGCTCACCTCACTTGCATGTCCACTCATGATTGAGAAGGGAAAAGGTGAGTGCTCTGATGTTAAGCTGTTTTCTGGAATGCTAAAATCTTTAAGGAAAGCTTATTAATGATTCTCGGTGTAAAGCAAAATAAGCGTTGTGATGCAGAGCTTGTAGGAGAAACTATATCGATAAAAGATACATAATCAGTATAACAACACAAGCTACATGATAAATATTTTCTTAAGAAAATTTCATGACACTGTTTGTGTATTTTGTATAAAACGAGAATATTTATTGTATGCCTTTCATTTCTTTCATCTGTATTTCAGACTAGTGTATAGCTCTTTTTACCTCTTTATTTTAAAAATGTAGAACATTTAATGCTTACGTAGATGTGATTCCCACAATAGTGTTATTGCACATATGTGGAACCCTAACCAATTTAATGTGATTTTTTTATTAAGTCCTAATTTTGTTCATCACATAAGGGCATTAAGTGGCTCTATGGTGTGTGGCTTGTATGCATAGACCACATGAACATTCATGTGCTGTTCACAGTGGGCATGAATAAGATCCTGAGCATGGAATTAATGTTCTCTCTGGAGCCAGTACCCTTCTGGCTCATGGATGGTACACTCCACACTTGTTTACTGGTGGAAGTAATGCAAGAGCCCCTTTCTAAATGCCCACTGAGTCTAATCTTCCTCCAAGAGCATTGTACACTCATGGAAAGTCATTTCCTTCACTCCAGCCTTCAGCCAAATTTTTCATAATGGCACATTCACTTCACCCCAGCTCTCAGTATAGTTTTTCCATGATTGCATGTCATCATGACATTCCTGTCATCCATCCTCAGTGACGTGACATTACCCATCAGTCAGTCCAGAAGACCATTGGAATCTAGCCTGCTGTAATTCTTGCTGTTGCATGTGCAGAACCTAGGTCTAGGAAAAGCCACAAAAAAATGCTGGACATCAGAGAGGCTAAGCAATGATCCAGTGTGGATGTCTTGTTCTTCCATTCTAGCACTTCTTTTTGTTTTTTGCAAGTCATTAGGGGTTGAATTTTAGCCTGCCCCCTTTGTCATTATCTTTTACTTTGTTGGGTTTGCACCTTTGTTTCTATCTCTAGAACCATTTCTCTTTATCTCCTCCTTTGATAACATTATTCTTCCTTTTCTCTCCCTCTGCAGCCATCATTGAAGGAGGTTTCCCAACACACCTGCCGCTGCAGCACATGCAGAAGGACCTTCGCCTAGGCATGCTGATGGGTGACACCTTGGAGTTGCCGCTGCCCCTCACTGCTGCCACCAACGAGGTCTTCAAGCACGCCAAGCGGCTGGGCTACGGGGAGCACGACGTTTCCAGTGTCTACATACGCACGCGATTCTAACCCATATTGGCCCCCGTGTGCTCACTCTTTTTTTTTCTTTTTCTTTTTAAATGTATTTTTTTGTTCTTTTTTTATGTCTTTTTCTCTGTTTTTGTTTGTAGAAGGCGTATGTGTCTTGAGGAAAGGAAGGGAGGAAGGAAGCAGGCAGAGGCAGGCAGGCATCAGTAAAATTTGTGTGCACTAAAAACCTCCCTTCTAGCTTTCTCTCTCTGTCTCTGTCTCTCTCGTTAAGGGAGAAGTTATATTGTAGTATTTGTTGTAATTAAGGTTGTTTTTTAGCTTGTATAAAGTATAAGAATGAGGTTAAAAGAAATGGATAAAGAAAAGAAAAGAAAATTTTTATCAAAACACCTTTTCATTTGATGCATTTATGTACTGAGAAATCACATTTTAATTTTTTTCTCTCTTTTTTATTTTTTCATATTTCGTATGCACATTTTTAATTATTTATTTTTTTACCAAGAGCACATTTTGTGTGTCGTTTTGGCTAAGGAATGAGGAACGTGGAACCGCAGTGCTCAGAATTGAATAAGTGTTTGCGAGGTTTTCAGTGCAGACTCTTGTTATTGTTTATTGATGCTTGGGTTTTCTAAAATAACGTGGATATCATTTCCTTTTTTTAATTTTTAGTCTTTATTATTATTGGTTTGCTGTCATTATTATTATTTTTATTATTATTATTATTATTATTATTATTATTATTATTATTATTATTACTATTATTATTATTGTTTTGTCATTATTATTGTTATTGTTATTTTCACCAGAATACTGAGAGCCTGAAGGAGCCATTATGTAGTGACTCAAAGCTGTCGAATGCTTAGTCATTGGTATCCAAGATAACTATAAATAGTAAAAAAAAAAAAAAAAAAAAAAAAAAAAAAAAAGTATGAGAAGATTTAGATAAAAAAAAAATAACAAAAAAAAAAAAAAAAAAAAAAAAAGTCACTCCACAAAATATATGGAAAAACAGTTTTAAAAATCAATAAAAGTAAAAATACCTTTATATATATATTAAAAAAAAAAAAATTCATAAAGCAAACACACGTGGTTAAATGTCCTCTGTATGACATAGATCTCGAGTTCACGTCGACCGAAGGGCAGGGGAAGGGAGGGGGGGGCGAGATTAGTGTAAGATTTGAGAATTTACGGGAAGTATAAGGTCCTGCTGTCCTGGGTTAGGGGGTGGTGGGGGGGTAGGGGTACGGGCATTCCTTTTTTTTTTTTTTTTTTTTTTTTTTTTTCTTTCTTTCTTTCTTTCTTTCCTTCTTTATTTTCCATGGGATGAGAGTGAGTGTTCTTTTGCAATGGATTAGATGTAAGAGCATGAGGAGGAGGCGGTTAAAAAAGTTGGAGAGGAAAATATTGAAACGTTTTGAATAAGTTTAAGGTTGAAAGTGAAGAGTTGACTCTATTATACATTACATATAGAAAGATATTTTCACACTCCGTGCTTTGTTATACAAGTTCTGCATGTGCAAATAGAAAAGAAATAATCTTCAAATTATTTAGCAGTAAGGCTGACGAGTTTCCAAAGCAGATTAAGACAACGATAGGCCATTTACGTAAGTGTAGGAGAGGGAGGGTATGGCTGGGGGCGTATCTCGTACCTTGTTTATATCATTGTGGTGCAATTCAACATTTTTATGCCTCTCTTTTCTTTATTTTTCCTTTTTATTTTTCTCACTCATTTCCTCCCTTTTATTTCCCTCTTTTTATATGATTAGTGTTATGACGATTTTTATTAAGTTGATCAGTGCGTTTTGAGGTGAAAGTCCTTCCCCACCCCAAGGAAATCTACCGTTTATTCCTGATAACAATTAAGTTGCACTTATCTATGAATGGGCATTGGGCTCCCTGTTGCAGTTGTATTTTGTTTCATTAATTTCATTATTATTACAGTTATTACATAATGTTATCGTATCATCTTTCTTTTTTTCTGCTAAACATTGGTGAGGACGATGCTAGGATTTATACTTTCAGTTCCTCACTTTTATCTGTTTCTGTGACAACAAAACGTAACTTTATAGCATATCTGTTAATGTCTGCGTAGGAGTGAAAACTGTGCACAGAACTATTCATATCAATTGACATGAAAGCCCCTCTCTTCAGTTATGTGTTATTTTTTCTTATTTATGCATGTGTATGTATGGTGTATACGTGTCTACATGTTTACATACATACACATGCAAACCCATACATATGCATATACATTTTTATATATTCCAAGCACTAATGTGGCCTTCTGATGATGTATCTATGTAGGTGATGCAGACTGCTCATGAGGCAAAGACCTTGTTGGTGTCAGGTGAATAGAAAGGTCATGGTAGAAAGAGGCTTGTGACATGGTGTTCCTCGGTCCTGATAGAGGGAGTCGAGGCTAATTGACAAAACTGTTACAATTTTTGAGTGTTCTGCTCCTTTTTGGTCTCGTGTATGATGATGATGACAAGGTATTCATGTGTTTTATGTTATTTTTTATTATTGTTATTATTATCATTGTGATTTTTTTTTTCTCCTTATCCTTTCCCTCATGTCTCTGTTTGGATTTGTCTTTTTCTCTCCCTCCTATTTTTTTTTTATTCCCTCTTTCTCTTTCCCTCTCTCCCCCTCCCCTCTACCTCTAACTTCCTCCCTTCCTCCCTTCCTTTTTCCCTCCTCTTCTCCCTTTCTCTCTTTCCATTTCTGACGATTTTTTAAACAAGCATATTTTACAATGAACTGAACAATAAAAACTATATATCTTTATATACTTGACATTATTTGTTACTTTTTCATAAAACGTACTTTCATAGAAAAGGAAAAAAAATGAAAGGCCTTCGAAAACTGATTTGCCATCCCCGGTACACTGATTTACAAGCAGATACATTTTAACTTACTGTTTTTTGGTACATGAAAACAGAGGGACAGAAGAAAGAGATGTGATAGCCCTCTGGACAAATACAGTATATTGCCCATACATTGGGATGAGGAGGTACAGTTAATCTCTCCACGGTGTGATGTGACGGAGTGCACGATTAGGGAGAAGGAGAACGGAGTGGTATTGGTACAAATTTATGTATTTTGTTTTCCCTTCTTTTCTTGATAAAGAGGGGTGGGTGTTTTCTTGTCTGCTTATTTCTCAAGGCTAGAGTAAAAGCATACCAGAAGGAAAGGTTGAAAACTGGATTTTGATTTTTTTTTCTTTCTTTCTTTACAATTCGATGATAGAATTATATACTATATAGAAAGATTATAAATCTGTATTGGCTTTTCAATCTGCGCTTTATAGCTGTTCAGAATACTGGGTTGCTAACCAGTGTCTGCAGGCGATTTCATATAAGAATGCATTTGCTCAAAAGTTTTTTTTATTATTATGATTATTATAAATATTATTATCATCATTATGAATGTATTAAAGACTAACCTTACTTAGGATTTATGATCCTTGTTATAATGGTTATTATTATTGTCATTTTTCTTTCTTTCTTTTTTGTCTTAAGTTAGGTTCTTAAGTATTAAGTTTTATTTGTCAATGTTCCTTTTATCAGTTAAGTGGCTTCAGTCTTTCCTCTTTTCTGAATCTGTGACGATGTGCAGGTATTTCACAATCATTTCCAACTGCAATGACTGTTTGTGCAATACCTCATTTAGTAACTTGTAAGAATCATTCAGAATTGCAGAGTGGTGGGCTTTTTCTAAGAGAGAGAGAGTGCATTCCTTCATTGTCGTGTTCTTCAGGTCTCTCTCTTTTTTTCTCTTTTTTTTTTACCATATTCTTTTCTCTCTTTTCTCGTGTTTTTCTCTCTCCTCGTCTTTTGTGGTTTCATCGACTTTTCCGTTCTTCCCTCGTTTTCTCTCCTTACTCTCCGCTCTTTCAGGGTTCTTGTGTATTCTCCCAAATCCTTTTATTGCCTCATCTTGTTTTATTTCTAGAGGAAATGGCTTCATAATATATTCTTGATAAAAAAGGAGAGTATTAATAAGGAAAAGAGTTATTCAATCTTTAGGAAGAATTAGCTGATATATTCTGTCTCTCAGCATGTTTTACCTTCTGTGTTTCATAGCTGGCAATTTAGTGCTTGCTGGAGCCCCACAGTGTGACACCGTACATTTTCCATCTACACAATGAGATGATAGGGCACTATGTAATTTTACTTAGAAGAAAAAAGAATTAACTCCCTCTTTCCTTCCTTCCCAACACCCTTACCCACCTACCCATCTATCCCACCCTGCCCCACTCCACTCCACTCTACAAAATGACGTCCGCAGCGAGATATTTTTCCGTCGAGTCGCGTGTGTGCGTGTGAGGACCTGCTGATGTACGCCACCCGTGTGCACATGTTGATATCCTTTGAAATGTTTATAGTTAATAGTTTGTATTATTATCTTGTAGTATGTAAGTTGATAGGACCTTTTTCATGTACAAAGACGAAAGGAGTTCTGAACGTGTGTGGCTTTTGGACAACTTCTTGCTGTCAGATTTAGAGTTTATGGGAAAAGTGTTCAGTTTATTGGTTTTAGTTTTTCCATCATATTTGTATTCCTTTTTTTTTTACTTTGTCACTTTAGCTCTGTCTCGGGAAGCCAATTTTTATTTTGAATTGATTTATGTAATGGCGTGTCGTCCAGTGTGAGTGCATGTGGCATTGCGTTGGTGTTTTGAACGGGGAGTGAAACCATATCAGCTGAAACAGAAATTTGATGCTGAGAAGAGACGAGAAACGGATGGGAATGTGCAGAGATTGGAAATTGAGCAAAAAAAAGAAGAGAACGTGAGAGAGATCGGAAAGGAATAGAAATTGAGAAGAGTAAGCAGACATGATAGAATGATGAGAAGAGCAGATTTTTGACGGAGGGTGAAGTGTGACATTGTCAAAACCAACTTTGTGAGAGTGATGTTCACTCTTTTATGATATATCACAGTTTGGCAAATGTTTTAATATTTTTTGTAAGCTTATTGTTTTTCCTCTCTCTTTTTATATTTCTTTTATTTCATTTCAAGTTTATACTCCCCACTTTTTTATGCATAATTGTCATTATCAATTTTATTATTAGTTTTTTTTTTTTTCTACACATACACACTGCGCCTTTGCTTATGGCTCGACTGCAGCCCAATGATATATTTTCCCATGTACCACTTTAAAATGAACTTGAAACATTTTTAAAAAGAGCTCAAATAAAAAAAAATAATAAAAATAACAAAAATAAAAAGAAATTTCATACAACCTTTCCTCAAATGTGTTTGTTTGTATCTGTGTGTGTGTGTGTCATGTGTTTGTTTTCTTTTGGAGTTCTCTTACTTTCTTTTTATTCTTCCATCCTCCTTTCTTCAATCTTCCCTAAATCCTCAATCTCGTCCTCCGTCGCCTTGTCCATTTTCTTCTCCTT